GGGGGGGCGGACGCGCCTGCTCCCCGCCGTGCCCGGGCCGCCGCGGGTCTCTGTCGGGACCGGGGTCTTTCCCCTGGGGGCTGGGCGGCGAGGGGCGCTGGTTAGACGCCGCTGTTTTGTTTTCCTTCTTCAGGGGGAAGTTAAAAGGCAGAAGCGCCAGAAAGGTAAAAAGAGGTCAAGATCCAGGCATCAAAGCCTCCTTGTCGCTGTACCCGGCGCTTTAGGGACTCCCCGTGCAGGGCTGCAGCAGAGACGGGTGACTTCTTTTACCCCCAAGCCTAGAAAATCCCAGCTCCTGCCCCCTTTCTTCCTCCCGCGTACCTGCCCCGGGTACGTGAAGCGATCGTCCCAGGGCAGTAACAGAAATAGCACCGCTCCGATGCGCTCGATTCAAAACCTACACGGAAGGTGGAGCACGTGTATTTGCATGCAGAGGGAGCCATCATTACAAATAAAACATCCATCTACAAAATAGTATTTAAGATGTAATACCCAGCAGGTGAATCCAGGACAACAAAAAAAAAGGCGATAGATTTTATGAAATCAAAAGGATCTGCGGATTTCCGCAAAACTCTTTATTAGTATTTAAACAAAATGGAAACACTAGTTACAGTTAACAGTCTCCTTCAATGTCTCACTGTTCAGATACAACACTACTAAAAGTTTAATTAAGAACTGACAAAACTGACTCATCTGCTTTCCCTAGAAAATGGACAACAAAAAAAGCGATAGATTTTATGAAATCAAAAGGATCTGCGGATTTCCGCAAAACTCTTTATTAGTATTTAAACAAAATGGAAACACTAGTTACAGTTAACAGTCTCCTTCAATGTCTCACTGTTCAGATACAACACTACTAAAAGTTTAATTAAGAACTGACAAAACTGACTCATCTGCTTTCCCTAGAAAATGGAATTAAACTAAAACAGGGTATGATGCAAGATTAAATTAAGCAGATTATTTTTAAAAGGCATAATTTAGTGCATGCATAACATACCTATATGATTCCTCGCCATCAGCCATCTGTAGGAACTTTGTTTTTCATCTACTAGAAGTTGAAGATAATTCTAATAGAAAATAGGAATTAATGTTTAGATGCATCTTTTTCCCCTTGTTCTGTATGGAAGATACACCTGCCTGACATAGATTTACAGATGACCAGTCTTTACATCCTTTCACCACGTGAAAACCTCCTAGCTTCGAGATGACCGTGTAAATACAGCCTCAAGTATAAAAAGTCCTCAGGGAACACTATGAAATAATAGTATTTTGGCCAGGATAGACAACTCAGCTTTCAGTAGTTTCACAATTTACAGCACTGTAGATTTAGCTAATCTCAAGTGCATTACAATTCTAGCTGATAGAGTCCCTTTAAAGGTAAAAATTAACCTGTTCCAAAACTCCTAAATTAATAGCAAGTGATTCTGATAGGCTTGGTTGACATACCTTAATCGAGGGAGTGGATGATGGACAGTAAGAGAAAAAGGGATAAATACAAGTTTAATTGTCCATTCTCCTGTAAAAACCTGCCTGTAGGCAAATCTTCGTACCTACACAAAGAATATGAATTTCAACTTATGTGTCCTTTCAGCATGCATTGTCTTGGGCCCCAAACGTGTCCTTTCTGTGTTCAGAGATTATGAACCAAAACAGAACCATTTGCGTGTCGGGTCTTTACCCTCCAACAGTTGGTGCACGTACCCCTATTGCACTCCAGTGCAAGAAGCAAACATCTCTCATCGTCTCTGAGCACTTTAAGCCAAAGTCTCCTAGAAGTACACTTCAGATAACAAAAATAACTGAACAGTGTTAATGAAAAACCTCTTAGCGATTTACGTATAATACATTTACTAAAGATGCATCTACAATGCACAATTCCTAGTGATAAAGTATTATCACAGTTCTTGCATGGACTGACTCACTGTAAGCGATTCCATTCAAGCCATTAAGACTTCATCATGTCTAGGACGTGACAGAGCAGCCCTACTGACATTGAACAGACCGCTCTCCTGAATCACTGCACAAATAAGCTCTTCTGTACTACCCATTAACTGGCTGTGACCCATAACCTTTATCCACTAATATGGAAGAGCCAGTTTCCACTTTGAATGAAATTTTATGTAGTCATTCTTCAGTTTAAAACCAAAACATGGGAAAATGCCTTCCCTTTGAGACAAGCAGAACAAGAGTAGATATTGTTGCGGCCTCAGAATGAATAAAATCTCCTTCCCTGGGGCAGACAGCTAGCCTGGTAATTAATTATACTTTCTCCAAGAGTCAGACAAAAGATGAAAATAAGCAGCAGGGCTTTCATAACTGAAGGGAAGGACAAGAGAAGTTGTAGTTCATGATATTTCTGTCCTATATAGCCTCATCACATCAAGAAAAACAAAACTTGGCAATTTTCAGGCTGCTACAGCCAACTCCACAGTTACATGCCATATTTTCTTCTCTTTTACTCTCCAATTAGTTTGTCAGTGTTAGTCTGCTTCTTGTATAGAAACTACAAAATGGTTTAGGGCAAAGTAAGTGCTTTTTCCTAGGACTCCTAGAATACCCTTATGATAAACACCTCTCATTCTGGACCATCCTTTACTTGAACGATCATCATAATCACAGCCTACTACATACATAACTTTCAATTTTGCTTAAAGCTACATCAAGGAGCTCACCTCTATCTCCTAGGGGCTCTAGATTCTTGCATAATTACCAGTGGCTTAGTATTTGCAAGAACAAGGATATTGATAATTAGAAGCATACCCAAGAGGACTCCAAGGAGTTATTGGCAGAACTCATTCTACTAATGCTTAAAGGAAAAATAACTTAATGGCATCATTTTTAACCTTGAGCCATATAGTATGTTTATACAATACCTGTTCATAGACTAATCTAGCAGCATTTATTTGCACTTCCTTCTTCCCCAGAGCAATGGGAAAAGGCTCAGGGTCTGAATTTTCACCGGTGTTTTCAAATGTAGTCAAACTAATTGAAGTTGTGGATTTTATATGTCTTCTCGACATGCTCTTTTTGGAAACACAGAACTATTTTCCAGGGCATGAATATTCTGGGTGATAATACTGAGAAACAAACTCAGACTTCAAGAGGTTTGGAAAGCCATAATCATTTTAAAACATTGAAAAAACTTCCTTTATGTCTACAGAAGAGTCTGAGTAAGAGGTGGTGTAGTGAGAACACTGTAGGGATCCAAATTACTTCAGCCTGCAGTGAATGCAACTGGAGAAACTGTGCTCTTGTCAGTGTTCTCTGAGGCATTCAGCACGCTGCTGAAGAATGACATTTCTGGATTAACAATCCACAAGCTGAACTGGAAGCACTGGGAATCTAAGCTATGTGCCAGGTACCCTGAGCAGTAACCTGAAAATCCAGAATGCCAATATCCAGCTCTTGAGACAGTTCAGCTATAAAAGGTTTTTTTCCACCCTTGTATTCATGTAAGGCACCTACTTCCTCTTCACAAGTCTGAAGCCACTAGAAGAAACAATGGCTGAGATAGGTGATATTATAAAATAACTGAGATGAAATGGGAAGGACTCTCAGATGACAGTGGATGTGCCTAGAATGGTGATAGTGCTGATCATAAAAAGCTAGCTGTACTGCAGTGATGGCAGGGTGAAGGCCACTTATATTCATGTTTAGAAATCAATTTACAGCAGGACACACAGTCCTGTACCTCCAAAGTTCTGCAGACCCAAGCATTCAGGTAGTTTAACGGTAGTGTACTATTGACTTCGGAGAGCACATGAATGCTTTACATACCCATTTCCAGGACATGCAGTTACCTTTATAACAGTGTTAACACTTCCTAACTCAAGTAGAGGTCACATCTTCAGATGCTAATGCTACTAGAGAAATCTAGAAATCTTGGCACAGCAAGAGGCAAAAATAATTCCATTAACACAATTTGGTCTGCTGTTCGAGTCACACTTTAAAAATCTAAATGAACTGGAGAATCATCTTTATGAAGTCCTTACAGAACAATGCCCAGAGTAAGATCTAGTTGCTTGTACAAAATAATTTAATATTAAGTACTTGAGTATTTACAAGCTTACTGCAAAGCAATACGCTAAATGTCAAAGAATGTATACACCACAAAAATACGGCCATTAACTACTGGTTAGTAGTTCTGTTTCACCTCCCTGCTGCAGTAGCAAGACGGTTATTTCTTCTGTTGACTCCTGCTGAAACCCAGAAGTCTCATCTGTGTTTACAGTAGATCCAGTTTTTGGTACTCGTAATAGTATCTGGGGAAAAAGTGATAAGTTAAATACTATCAGTAAAGTGGCACATTCTCAAGTGTAAGAGACCCGACAAGCTGTTTAGATGCTCAGTAGATATCTAGGCTATCATTTGTTTGGAGGAATCTGAATCTTGTAGGTCAACTGCAGTGAGAAGAGAACAACAGTTTTGAGTGTATGTACATTCCTAATGAAAAAGAGCATCATCCGAAAGACTCCTTGAGCGGACATGAAAACATGCAGCATAAACCCCCCACCACCACCACCTCCCAACGAGCTGTTTAGATGCTCAGTAGATATCTAGGCTATCATTTGTTTGGAGGAATCTGAATCTTGTAGGTCAACTGCAGTGAGAAGAGAACAACAGTTTTGAGTGTATGTACATTCCTAATGAAAAAGAGCATCATCCGAAAGACTCCTTGAGCGGACATGAAAACATGCAGCATAAACCCCCCACCACCACCACCTTTAGGCAGTCTAATTCCCGATCCCCAGGCTCCTCTAGAAAAGCACTGTTGTTCTGACAACACCGCTTGCTGATTTCCGAGATCCGCTTGCCTGCCAAGTACAACCTATGTTCTGTATTACCACAGTTCTCTTGGGCACGTGACTTAACACCCTTGTCACCCTTGTTCTTTGATCTGTACAGAAGCATCAGATGATTGCCATTAACACATACACACACTTAAAAGCACTTCCCTGCACTCTAGATGCTGTATGTACTCAATCTGTAATAAAGTACGAGAGTATTTGGACCTAGGAAACTGCAATTCCATTGGAAATTTGTGTATATTCAGCATTTTTGAAAGCTACTATGCTTACACAGTATCTCTGTATTAAATTAAACCAGCATAAATGACAAATATAACTTGCAGAAAACTTGCAGACATTGTCTGTAAATAACTACTTTGAACTTAGGAAGACATATGCCATCCAGTGGCACACTGAGAAACTTCAAGAGAGATTGGAAAGGGAGGGGATTTTACTTCTGTGGTAGTGCTGAGACAGTTTTGCACACATTTCTCATTTTTGTTTAACAAAAATCTAGGAAGTAAAGAAAGGAGCTTCCCCTGTGTGAAGGGTCTCAGGAGAAAAGAACAGAAACCTTTAGATAAAAAACGACAATTTTTAAAGAAAAACATTCCCCCAAAAGTAGTTCATGTCATAGGGTAAAAAATACTGGATGCTCAAGAGCTCAGTTTAGCTGAGAAAGATAGAAAACACACCAATGCCTGAAAGCTGAAGTCAGACATTCACCCTAGAAATAAGGCACAGGATAATAATTTACTAAACAAGCTGGTATCTTTTCTAGGGAGTCTCCATACCAGCAATGAAGCTCGAAGTTGTGTTTAGGAGTAACTTGAAGAGGTGCAGATATTCCCAGAGTTACCTAGTAGCACCTTCTGGCCTTAATGATCTAGCCTATGAAATGGCTAGATTGTATTAATTCCTATGCTAAAGATCCTTGGAGGAGAAAACATTCGTGTAGTTTGTTAGTGAAGTACCGTTGCACGCGAACACTTAAGTCAGAAATTTGAGGTTTTCAGCGTCTTTTACTCTTTAGCCTTGTGATTTTTCCAAAGATTCAGACTTTAAAAAAAAAAAAACAAAACAAAACCACCTTTAAACACTCAAATAGCCAGTTGCCATCTACACAGCGAACAATTCGATATTCTATTACCTTCAGGCACTCCCTCGGGAAGGCAGAATGCTTTTGTGTTAACTGGAATTTGGTGAAGCCTGGAAGGCCTCCGGCACGGTGAAGTTCTGACAATGGAGCAGATTTCTTGTCTGCCACACAGAGGCTGAAAAGATTAATGACATTTCATTCACACAACTATTTCCACTGAAGAAATATTCTTCTAGGGAAATTAGAGATGACGTGCAGATTTCAAAGGATGTCACTAGAAAACATTTAAGACTACTTGTGTACACTTAATATGCTATCGGAAAGGCTGATAGAAAGCTTCAAAGCTTAAATGTTTTCTTCAGCTGTTTGTAATACTGTAAGGTAAGGCTTTGATATATAGTGCATTACGTACTAGCATGCCAAAACTGGATTTCAAGAGTGCAATAAAATTAGAACCTGAAAAACATTCTTTTCTTCTGGACTTTGAGGAATAATTTCTTTTTCTGAGCTCAGAGATGCAGGAACAATTTCTTCTGAATTTACGTATGGACCTGTGGTATTCAGGAACAGGTCTTCCCCAGGTGAGGCTTTGCACACTGGTGACAAGCTAAGCTACAGCTCCGTCAAAATACAAAACATACAGCAATAACTACCCAATTAAATAATAGACAACAATTCAAATTGGCCAACACTTGTTGGCTCATGCAAAAGGTCTTCCATTGCTTCAAAAATATGATTTAGGACTCCAGTGATTCCTGTCTTCAGCCTCCAACAAGACCCTGATGTTCACTATTTGTTAATCTAGTATCCATAAACTCAAGTATGCTTGCAACAACACTAGGAAAGCCCAGTATGTTTTCCTGCCAAATAATCTGGTGCAAAATTAAGCAGTCTTTCTATTGTACCTGTTCCCCTTTTTCTAAAAAAATGTAGAGTTTGCCGAGTTGGTTGGGAGCTATGGCATGAAAGTGACAGAGACATCACTTCTATTCCTGCAGAGAGAAGTGGCAATGCTATACTACCTTTACTGACAAAGAATTCAAACTGGCATTTATCAAAGGGGTAATGCAAGTAAGGCTACTAGGTGCTGGTTTTACATTAGAAGATGTTGCAAAAATACAAACCAGATACCTAGGGGTTTTGTTGTAGTATTTTTAACTGTCCGACTGATTGAATTTAACATGTAGTTTGTTGTGCAATTTGTATTGTAGCATAAGCATAGCCAGAATTGGACGGTGCCATGAAGAACAATTTGGTTTTAATCACTAGAAAAAAAAATATCAGGATAGACACTCACATCTAGCTCTGCAGGCTGAGCAAAACCAAGATTTTTTAGGGCTTTATTTTCCTCCACGATCAGCACGGTGGAACTCATTTGCTAAACAAAAACAGAGCAGAATTCAGTATCAGTTTCCAATTCTTTGCTGTTTATTATTAGTCCTACAGTATTCCCCTAGTACACAATACTATTTATAACAACTCCATTTAGAATTACTGATAGTTCTTAGGGTTTAACTACTGAATTCCTGTCATTCACTTTTTTTTGGCCTTATGCTCTCCAAAATTGAGACAAAGAATCAGTTTACTGCCGCACAGCACACACACGTTTCAGGTCCCCTTCCCCAACTAGGGGATGAAGCACTTCCTACCACTTATTTAATTGTTACAATACTTAATTGTAACTTTTGTCATGATTCAAAACTCTCACTGCAATTTTATGCCTTTGCTAATCAGCGGGGCACAATGGGAATACTTACCACCACAGCATCCGTCCATTTGGACGGCACTACTTCTGCTGTCAACCCCACTGAGTTGGCTGAGGTGTTTCCTGGGGCGTCAAGCTGACCGAATGACGATGTACCACCTTCTAACGTATTAGAATTTTTTTCTTTTTTCTTACACTTCAGCCTTTCGGGTTTAGCAGCTTGATTGTCAGGCTAAAGGGTGAAACAATTACATTTTGTGTTATAAAGTGAATCTCTATAGCGTGGTAAGCGCTAACAGAGTCCCACTGCCACACTCGAGCTCTTACACAACTGATCCAGCACCGCTGACACAGTCAGTCTGAAAAACAGTGAGCTTAGGGGGCACCCATGACTATTGCTGCTGCCCAGAGGTAGAGGCAAACTACACCTTCGCTCTGCCAGTGTCTGCAGGCACCCCTTTCAAGGTAACTACTACACTTCCAGGTGGAGTCTTCCACCTACACAAGGAAGGAGCAAGTCATCTATGTTACAACCTGGCTGATTTATTAAGGATCTTTCACCTTTCTTTCCGGTCCTAACGGTGAAGAACAGCGCATACCAGTTTTTAGGTCTGGAGTTCTCTCTCTTGCAGCTGTAATTTTACAGACTTTTTTTCCTGTGATAAATTTCCAACAGATTAATTAACTCTGAGACAAACAGCACAGCTACTCTCCAACCCATGTCTTACAGGACGGTTTTCAAAGAGGGATCATTCCAAAGCCACCCATGTAAACACACCTCCTCCCTTCAACATAATCCTCATCGCCCTCTCCCCGCCAACAGGGCTGCTTTACTCCTCTCCCTTTCCTTGAGGAAACAAGGTTGCGTATTAATCTTCAGTTCACCTGGCTATTTACTGCTAGACACACATACCATGGGAGCAGAGGAATTGCATAATCACAGCAGGCTTTGCCAGTGGCAACTTCTGCTGCTATTACAGTCCAAATTTAGCAGGGGAAAATTATGTGGTACCTGGGCCATAGCCAGAATTGCATCAGTCACAGTTCAGAACTGTAGTTACATGAGGGACTCCTAATAGTATTTGTGAGGCTGGTATGAACTAAGTTCAAGTAAGGAGCATGACACAAACAGTTCTGTTCCTGGGTAAGTTAAGTAAAAAATGCTAATTTTCACTGAGCATCACAGGTGATTAAATGGAAAAATGGGGGGGGGAGTGTTGGGGTTTTTTTGTTCTTCTCCTAACATGTTAATTAGAACCAAGGAAAGATTTTCAATTCACGCTTTCCCTTCTAGACACAATTGAGCTTAGCCTGTGCCAGGGGGACAAATGACCCCATGGAAGCCTGGTTCTGATATTTTGCCATCATTTAAGTTTGGGTAGAATATTCTGTTGTCTCACAGCTAGTACAACTGCTTCAGGTCATATTTTACCTGCCAGAGTAGTTGAAACACTTAATACTGAAGAACTGTAATTGCAATTTGATGGTCTCTTTCTAGAAGAGGAGGGAAAAAAAAAGTGAACAACTATTCTTAATGAATGTTAACATTCAAAAAAAAAAAACAATGGATAAGAAAATCATAGCAAAATACAGACTGAGCGAAAAGGGATAAAGCTTATTTTTAAAAATATTGTTACTGAGTTACTTCATCACACTTTACAGTTATTTGATAGTTTATCATCAAGTCACACAGCTTATTCTGAAGATACTTGCAATTTAAGACCCACAGAAGACATTCACTAAAGTACTCAGCACTGAAGCATACTAGGACAGAACATATTTAAGGAGGATGCAGAGGAAAATTAGGTTCGCAAGAAAATTCAGATTGAATTGTGTAGAGATCTGTAACGCTAAGATTGGTATAAACGAGTTATGAACGGAAGTGTCTGCCTGGAAACAGCAGCACAAGAGTTAAAAGAAAGGATACCGTTCCTAGAAAAACACTCATGTTACTCAGATTTTTATGTCAGGACCTGAAGGCGGCACTGTGACAAGGCCAAGTACAGAAAATGCAGTGAAAGACCCTGCACTGTGATAAAACCACAACACAGAGGACTTGTCAACACAAAACCTGGCACGCTAACAACAGGAGGGTGGCAAGAGGGTTCCAGCATATCACATACACCATTCCACCTCCTGGTAGACGCGTATTCCAAGTAAGAAAAAAACTGACAATGGGCAGCAACCTGGCCCAAGATTTATGAAGGCTGAAGTCAGCAAGATTCTGAAGCAAAGGAGTGCCCTGTATAAGCTGATGATTCCTAAAGAAAAGATCTGCCCAGAACCTAATTTTGTCCTGGGCAAGCACAGAACGCCAAAGACTTAACGAGGACTTGACAACAGGCGCCCCTCATACTCCGTACTGCACAGGCAATCCCGGCCAGACCACCCGGGCACACGCGTCCTGCTGCCTGTGACTGAATGAAGTCTGACAGAGTAAGTGCAATTGGATAAAAGCAATTTATTTAGGGATTTTGTAAATAAATGTCACCTTCCCCTTCCATAAAATCCTTCACTGAGTTTTCTTACATTGATTTCCCTACAGCTGCAAGACCAAAACAAAAGCCTATAAGGCAATCTCTTACCTGACTTAATGCACCAGTTTCAAAGTTAGTGAGGACACAGGTAGCTGAAACTCAACAGAAGTGTTTGCAGGATCAGAGGCTTATTCATACTGGCCTTTCTTTTAAGTATCACTCAAAAGAGAAAAACCTGAACATTTAGGTGCGTCAAAGAGTCTGCTTTGCAGATTACCTTCTAGTGTATTGGTCTTGAAAATCATCCGGTACAGGTTCTAAAAAACATAAAAGCTAAACTTTAAAAGAAAAAGCTAAGCAGACCAGACAATGTTTTAGTGCACACTAAGTTATAAAGCAAAATATTAGAAGCAAACACAGACCACTAAGAGGAAGCTGTTCCCAACTATGCAGACTTGCCTAAAATGAAATGACCATTACATATTTTACACAGGTTCCTTGCACCAGAGTGAAATTTGTTTATGTATATATTCTTCAGTATTGTAGAAAAGAATTACCTAATATTGCTGAAAGATTTGAGATCTGTGGCATCTTATCTATGGTCACTGCTTTGCTGGAGTCCAGGAGAGTAGAGTTCCTGTATTTGCCAGAGTCCTCACAGTAAAAATTACTTCTTTCTGGACATAAAAGATGTAAGTGCAAGCTGCTCATGCTGTAATTCACAAAGTTATTAATTTGTGACCAAACTGAAAGCAATCACACTTGCAAGACAGGAACTTTAAAGCAAAGGGAAAGCATTGTCTTGGCTCAAACAGCCACAGAAAAGTATGGGAGGAATTTGACTCAAAGCAGATTTGTTGGTCATCCCCAATAAACAGCTTGCGTCAACAGTGAATACTTTAAGTTTACAGTACAATTCAAATTACACCAGGACCTGACTGACTCTGGATTGGAGGACCAGATATACAGATCCCACATTAAGCACAGGTTGGCTTATAGCAAAGATCGGACCTGGTGAGTCACACCAAGAGAAGCCACTAGTCTTTGTATTGTAGATAGTCCCCACACACTTTCTACATCAAATAAAGCTCAAAAAACCAAAAGTCTCACCTGAACAATCATCTCTGAATGTTTCAGGGGATGGGCAACTGTTCAGGCTGTCACTAGCACCTGTGTTATAATCTGCAGTTGAATCTACATCTAAACACTCTAGGAGAAAGGTTGAAACACCTGTGGGAAGAGTCATTCCTGTACCTAGAGAAAGAGGCAAAAAAGGTGGCTACCAAAAAAGAAAGTATCATCTTGTACAAACCATCAGGATTTCCTTATCTAAGTTTCATTCCCATTATGAGCTAAATATTGTCAAGTCAGTATCTTATACTGATTCATGATACAGCTAAATAAAGGGCATCCTGAAGCCAAATTTACACTACCATAAGCTAACAGAAGACACCTTCCTTGCCCAAGGCTCACTAGAAATACTTGAAGAATTTAGCCTCTGACAAAGTAATTCTTAGCCAGGTTTGTTTTCAGAAGGACAAACTATTTAGGCACAAGCTTTTAAAAATGCAGGTTTGAGTAAACTGAAGAACTCATGTCAACAACTAGTTCTGTCAATGATAAAGCCAAGATCATGTGGTTTTAAACAGGCTGGGCTCAAGACTGTCTCAGGTCTCGTAGGGCTCCTATCCTGTTTGTGCTGCCTACAAGCAATTCACGTGAACCAAGCCACGCGCTGGAATAAGAGGCAGAAGTCCAGCCAGTGGTCTCAAAAGCTTTACTTTCTGATATCACGCAGTCAGAACCAGTACAAGAACAGCACGCCAGTACTTTATAGAAATATAATTAAAATTATATAATGAATTTTACATTTAGTTTTATACAGATATAAAAGTATATTTAATAATATGATGTTTATATTATATTGGATATATAAAATATATCCATTTATATTAAATGGATATATATAATTAAATATATCCATTATACTCACTTGAAGTCACTTCAGCATTTTTCAAACTTTCTTTACTTTCAAAGTTGATTATCAGGGATTCCTAAAATTAAATGACCAATACAAACAACCTGAGAAAATTGGATGTAGACCAAGAAATGCAATTAAATGTACTCCTACATTAGCAGACGCTCAGAAACTTACTGTCTGGTACTTCACCACTTAAACTTGCTATTCACAGCGTAATTTGTACCAGGGGTTTTCATGCATCATTCACAAGTCTGCAACGTGACTTATAGTTCTAAAATCCATAATGAATACCCAATAATTTGATCCTACAATCTTTGTTGGATGAGACTTCCAGTGAAGGCATACTGACGTCAGCTGAAGATATGCATAAGATAGCAGTGGAGTAATGAATTTCCCTGTCTTTTTTTTTTTTTTTTTGAGGTACAATTCATGCTGCTCACGTTCACATTCCTAGATTGCTCCTATAAATACAAACAACTATGTTGTTTAAGTAGTATATTCTACGAAACTAAACATTTGCAAGAAATTTAAATAATTGGTGGACTCTAAATAAGAGCTAACATTTTAAAGAAAAACAGTCTTACACCAATATCAGTCAAGCCCTTTGCTGTAGCAGATTTCAGTTCAAACACACCTGATGAACTATTTTCTTGCCACTGCAGCATTAACTGTCCTATAACACTTCTGCTCAGTCATCTCAAAATACTTTGTTCCAGTTGTACTAACATGAGGAAGAGCACAACAGCAACTTGCCAAAGGTCTGCGTCTGAACTAGAAGTGAGCAATTCTCTGGAATCACACTCTAATGAGATATCTTCCACACAACACAATTGCTACGGCCTTTCCTCGTTAAGGATAATTAGTATTGATGTTTTCCTATGCTACCAATAGCTCCAACAGCTTTTATTCTGGCCAAAGACACAGGAAAACGTCACCAAAATACAGGACCAAGTTCACCCGGAAAAAATGTGCATGCGCACGCGCACACACACACACAGCTCGCAGGAAATTCTTCTTGATTAGAAAAAGAATTTAACATGTCACATTTCTTTGATTGAGCCTCCATAAATTACTAGTAGATAAAGAGCAAGAAAGCATTCTCACCTTCAGCGGTACAGTGTTTTCTTCTATTTTCTCTTTGTTTTTTTCCAAGTCTGTTGCTGCTTTGACATTCACTTGATTGCTGCAGTTGAAGAACAGAGCTAAGCTCAATGCACAGAGCTACACCGTTCTAGAGGAAGGCGACAAGAACTACAGAACGTCTTTATGAGGTGCCAACAAATAGTCTGACAAACATCAGTTTACCAAGAATTCAGACTGCCTATCTCCAAGAGACACCTCACGCAGACAAAACAATATAAATTATTAGCTAGCGTTAATAATGGTGTATATGAATGAGTTCTATCAGACCTCTGGTGGGGTGAATGGCTCACTTCGGTGACTTCAAGATTTTCTTTAATTTTTGGTAGGGTTTTCACACTGGATTTTCCCTTCAGGCCTAGGGAAGAACAAGTATTCAATTCAGTGATTTTAGTTTTAATATTAGAATCGAGATTATTTCCAGTAGGGCACCTTTAGCTGTTCCCCCTCTTCCATGCCCATAACAATTTTTGACACACAAACATTGTAAAGTCTGAATTTGCTTTATTATTTCTACCCAAGCTTTTTTTAATCAGCTTATCAAAAAGACCAAAAAAATAGCAGACTTC